TTCTCCTTTTGCGACTTCACATCTTCCTCGGTCGACTTCTTGGTCGAGTTCCTTCACGGACTTCCGAGTCGGTTCTCATTCCATCCGTCGTCTCGCGTTCGCCCTCCGTCCACTTCGATTCCCGATTTGCAATCGAGACATTTTTTCGCCTTTCCTTGCGATTCCCCCGGCTTTCTCTCTCTCCCTAAATCATCGACTCAAGGCCTGGAAGTTGCGCTTGCCAGTGAAAATGCGTGCCGCGTCTTATCGAAAGAGCAGGTTTTTTTTTTCCATCGAAATGGATCAATGGAAGAAAGAAGACATCATAATCGCCCATGAGTTTTTTTTTTGGACGTTCACGTCTTTCATCCACCCGTCATCCACAATCTCACCGACCGCGAATCCCGTAGGCGATCTGCCGCTGCAGGCGTGCCAGCCCGGGCGGGACCGACCTTGAGGTCAGCCCGGGCAGGACCGGCCTTGAGGTCAGCCAAGGCTTTTGAGTCTGGCTTTTCTTTTGGTTCTTTTTCCTTTGGTTATTTTTTTTTTGGTTCCATTTTTTTCGATTTCATTTTGTTTCGGTTTTCCGTTCGTGGAATGGCCGGAAACGTTCACGGTGTGTTGGGCTTCTTCGATTTGATCTTGATAGAATAGGACAATAAAATTTTAAAATAACGTGTGGTGATGGAAAATGATTTATCTCGAGTGCAGGACCCTAGGAGAACACAGGGGAGAAATATCGAGTCACTGTGTGGGGCCCATAAAGTCTCTGCACAAATTTTTCGTTCTTCTCCATGGATCGGGTTCGCGTCGTTCTCAGCGTCTCCAGAACAGCCTTCGAAATCGGGGCCGCACGAACAGCACGTCGCAGAGGCACACGTGCCGGCACTGGCTCGGATACTTGACGTAACAGCAGGGCGGACACAGCTCCGAGAACTCCGCGTATCCGATCGATTCCCGGCCGAGTCGGCCCGTGCACCCGAGGGCGAGAAGCAGGAACAACAGCCACCGAATCATCTGCGTGAGAGTGCGCGAGACCGATTACGTCCAAATATCCGCACATGCACATCGGAACGAGAAAGAATCGAGGAAGCGCACAGTGCATGGAGCCACTCAGAATGACATCGGAGTAAGAAACAATTAAAGAAGAAAGCGCAGGGGGGATGCAGTCGCTGCAGCTCGTATCAGCGGAAGAAGCGGCGAAGAAGTCTAAATGCGTTCTTGCTTCGTGACCTTCCTCTGAAGGTCCGGCACGGATCCTTCCCTTGTTTCAGTCCTTTTCGTTTCGTTCTTCCGTGCGAGGAGCCGGTCTCGCTCGTCACTGTCAACAACAAGGCGGACGTGATCGCATTTAATTCGCTTCTCCGTAGTCGTGACCGTCGGATGGACCGCACGTGTCCATTCAAACGAACTGTTTGTCTTTCAGCTTCGAATTTAAAATAATGAAGAGAAAAACCCGGTTCGGATGGAATCGGTACCCCGTGTAGTGGAGAACGAAGAAAACGGTTGCTTTACAGACGATCCGCTAGATGTCGGGCACGCTGCCCGGGTCGGTACTCGGATGGTCGCTGATAATTGGGATGAACGTTGAAAATCGAATGGGCATTTATTCTCAGAGGTATTAAAACGGTTCTTCGTCGAAAAAATGTCGTCAGGTATTCGAACATCGTCGAGTCGGAGGGGGAGGGGACCGATTCGGTTCAGGCCGAGATTGCTGCGGGCCCGGTCCGCTTCGTGAGGGCTACAGGGTGTTTCATTCGAAATGTGAAACAAATCGACGCATGTGGATCCGATGCTGCTTGGACGTGGATGCGGATCGAATCGAGACGGATGGTATTCGTGAGATAAAATGTATCTGGCCGTGTCTTGGCCAGGGCCAGTATGTGCACTTTCACATCTACTTCGTTCGCTCTTCGATAGTATTACTCGATTTTAACTTGGGAAACACCCGGTGTGCTTGGGAAATCCCCGGAATCATCAACAAGACGAAAAAGATTCCATCACGACCGTGGGAGACGCATCAGCTGACCGCGAATCCGCCCGAGACCCTCGGGAGCGTCGACGGCGAGCATCCTCCATCGCGGCCATGCGGTGTCTGCTGGCTCTGTCTCTGGTGCTGGGGGCGGTGGGAGGAGGGAGGCGGGAGTGCGGGGGGGTGACGGAGGGGAGCGGGGGTCGAGTCGAGTCGCCTGGTTACCCGGATGGGTATCCCGGAGGGGCGGAATGCGTCTGGACCGTTGTGGTGAGGAAGCGTTTCGGAACGAGCTAAAATAAGCAGGTTTTATTCGTGTTTACAGTAGTTTTTCGATCAGAGACGAACCGTGGAACTAGGGTATGGATGAGTCACGTAGGTAGTTTAGTCTCGGGTCTCCCTCGGTGGGGTGCGTTCGAAACCAGCAGGAGTAAATCGGGAAGGCGCATCCTCCCCACTTTTATATATGTATATTGTACTGCGAATCTTGGCATAAGAAGGGTAATCATGACGTTAAATTATATGCCGTGATATAAATCTCCTTGGGGAAATAAATATCTTTGAAGGTTTATTGGTGGGTATATCCATGTAACTATAGCAACCCTGGACGAGAGGTATCCGTTCATGAAAGTTTCATTCTGGAACATGAAATAAATATATGATCGTCCCTCTGCCACTTTCCCGTTACTTTTCCTTCATTTGTAAGTTACCTGGGAGTGCATCACTGATGGATTTTTTTTTCTGCGTTTCATTGGCGAACGGACCAATACGGCTGACCTTCGATGACTTTGCCCTAGACGCAAAATCGGCTTGCCTGGATGAGTACGTGGAGATACGAGACGAAGACAGTCGATGGACCTTCTGCGGGGAGAAGAATCCGNTCGGCTTGCCTGGATGAGTACGTGGAGATACGAGACGAAGACAGTCGATGGACCTTCTGCGGGGAGAAGAATCCGGGAACCGTGCAGACTCGGAACTCCAGAGTGACGATCACCTTCAGGAGCGGCGGGGACCGAGCGGTGAGCGATAACCGCGGGGTCGCAGGCAACCGTGGATTCCGCATCTCCTACGAAGCGACCTGCGAGGAGGGTTGGATCCCATTCCAGGATCATTGCTACTACTTTGACACCACGGACGTATTCGGGTTCGGGCTGGACGACGCCGAGGTCGAATGCCAGACCCTCGGGGCGCACGTCGCCAGCGTCCATTCGCCAGAGGAGGACGCGTTCATCGCGTCCAACGTCAAGGCGTCGTTTGCGTACGTCGGGGCCACGACGGGTCCGAATTTTCCCGAGGATATTCTCGACTTTGAATACCTGGATGGCACGCCAGCGGATTACCACAATTTCATCGATATCGAAGGGCGTATATTTGCAGACAGTTCCATCGTCCACGTCATCGACAAATGGATCAATTTCCCTTGCGAAGACCTACGACCTTTCATCTGCTCGACCAGTACCTCCTTCAGTACACTGTATCATACGCCTAGTAATTTTGACGATGCGAGGGACACGTGCACGACGGAACACATGGACCTCGTCACGATACAGAACCAAGAGAAGAGAGCCACTCTGCTGACTCACTTCCTGAACGAACGACAACGTCGCTCGAGGGAGTTCTGGATCGGTTTGCGCTACGACGAGGTCGTCGGAGACTGGAGGTGGGTCGAGGATGGGTCCCCGGTCACCCTGGAGAACTGGGCCCCCCGTTACCCTATGGAGGACGGGGGCGACTGCGTGGCCATGGTCCCTTCCACCTGGACGACGGTCATGTTGAGGTCCTACGGTTGGACCTGCAAGAAACCCGCAGCGTCTGCGTAGACTTCCACCCTTTTTGTTGCGGCACTGTCTGATTTTTCACGCTCATTTGTTCCTCAGAACGGAAATAAATTCAAGAGTGGTGCTTCCAATTTGAATTTTCTTCATTTCTTTCATGCTGCTGCTTTGAAACCATCGTTCTCACCAGAAGCTGTGGTCTACTCTCGTCAGTGAGTTAACTACACGAGTCTCATGCAGTTTTCATCCCAAAATTTGAAAAATCTTCTTTAAAAATGTGGCCGAAGCCTTCAGAGTGTGACTAGGCTGAAATCGGCCATTCCCACTTTGGATCAATTTTCATCTTTTCGTGCACGCAACGGGAATGCTTAGCGAGATGGACATTTTTTTCAGAAAAAGAATAATTCAATGCGAAATGAAAGGCGCCCAAGCAGCATGTTAATGGTAATTTTACGTGAACTGAATGTACATTTTTGGCCATTTTCTATCTATTTTACGCAAACCATCATCAAGATAATGTCAACATGTTTCCAGAAATGTCACCTCTGGAATACGTAAACGGTGATATAAAATTTGCCTAAATTTTACGTAAACGTAGACGACAACGTCACGGGACCGCGACGTCGTCGCCGTACACCTCTGTCAGCTGTCTATGGATTTCAACCGGTAAAAAACATTTCGCCCACAGGAAACGGTTCGCGGAACGCAGAAATTACTGCAAAAATTCTGCGTTCTTCCCCTTCTGACCTGCTCGCGGATGACCATTCCCATGAATTCCCCGTTCGGGTATTCCCGGCGTTGGGACGAGCTCCTAGAGGAAAAATCGATTTCCTCTCCGTCCTGTGGAGAAACCCACTCGAAAAAGGAAAAAGCGGCCGAAGACGATGAAAAGAAAGTTGAATTCCGTCGGAGACCCAACATCCTTTTCTTTGCCTCCTCTCCACCGTCTGCGGTGGGGCAGGTAAACCGACCGCTTTTCACACCTCCTCCATCCATTGAGTTTCTCGTCTCAGCGTTGAAACCTCTGATACCGAGCACCTCTGCGCACGCATCAGATGTTCTTCAAAAATGTTTTTACTTGGATGCGCGCCCGATATGAGACAGTCCCAATGTGCTTGTATCTTTTTCGTCTAGTACGTTCCAGGCAGTACATAACGAGACAGTTTATGAGGCTGAATACAAAAGAGGTTGAGGTTATTCGATGAGAACATCTGATGCGTGCGCAGAGGTGCTCGGTATCAGAGGTTTCAACGCTGAGACGAGAAACTCAATGGATGGAGGAGGTGTGAAAAGCGGTCGGTTTACCTGCCCCACCGCAGACGGTGGAGAGGCTAAGAAAAGGATGTTGGGTCTCCGACGGAATTCAGCTTTCCTTCCTTGTCTTCGGCGGGTTTTCCCACAGGAAGGAGCGGAAATCGATTTTTCCTCTAGGAGTTCGTCCCAACACGGGAATACCCGGTCGGAGAACTTTTGATGATTCATGGGAATTGATTAAAAAAAAAACACCTGTCCGTTCCCTCCCTTTCGGCGCCAGACGATGGGAGGAAACTTGTGGTTGTGGTAAACAGGCATACGAGATATCTATTGCGGAAAACCTTCTAGACCATGGGACATACAGCAGGCGGCTACAAATCTCCAGGTATAAAATCTGGAAGCCCGAAAGAGAGTAATACCGATTCGAAAAGCTTCCTCTACCGACATGAGGTGTCTCTGGGTTCTCTTCCCTCTAGTCCTTGGTGCCCTGGGAGAAAGGAGACCGGAATGCGGGGGAGTCTTGAGGGAAACTTCGGGTGAAATCGAGTCGCCTGGCTACCCTCGGGAGTACCCCGTTGGGATTGAATGCATCTGGATCTTTGAGGTATGTTTCACTCTCGTCTACATCTCGCCATGCCCTTCGTTTCGCTGGAAATCTATCGATGCTGTTTGGATCCCCGTGAGGAGACGTGCACTTGTGAACACTATGGAAATTTCAGAATTTTCAAGCGCTAGGATCAAGAGTGGAAAAGTCCAGATAAACTTTTTCATTTTCTAGCACATCACCATGTTTTACTTTTATTTTTTATTTCATGACGAGTAGGTTGATCAACCGATAGCCCTAACTTTCGAAGATTTCGCCCTCGACGGCAGCCGGGATTGCCTGAAAGAACACGTTGAGATTCTGGAAGGCGAAAATCGATGGACCTTCTGCGGGGAGAATAATCCGGGAACCATATTCAGCCAGAGCGATCAAGTAACGATCATCTTCCGGAGCGATGGAAACCGTGCAGTCATCGGTAACCGTGCTGCGACCGGCGAACGCGGATTCCGGATGGCTTACAACAGCACCTGCGATGAAGGGTGGACGTTCTTCCAGGGTCATTGTTACTACTTCAATGATACCGGATTAAGCGATTTCGGACTGGATGAAGCAGAGGAAGCTTGCCAGGAGATGGGAGCCCACGTCGCCAGCGTCCATTCGCCGGAGGAGGACGCATTCATCGCGTCTCACGGCACGAGGTCCTTCAACTACATTGGGGCCATCACGGGTTCCAGTTTCCCTTCTGACCGATTCGACTTCGAATTCCTGGATGGCACTCCGACTGATTATCAGAATTTCTATGAACCCGGTTTCGAAATGCTCTTCGGGCCCGGTTGGGTCGTAAACACCATCGACCAGTGGATGAACTTCCCCTGCAACGAAATTCGCCCTTACGTCTGTGGTGAAGGTGCCTTTTCCTTTTACATCTACGACTCGCCGATGAATTTCGAGGACGCCAAGGACGCCTGCAGGAGCGATCATGAAGATCTCGTCAAAGTATCGGATCAAACGAAGAGGGAATCCCTGTTGGTTTCATTCCTGAACGATATAGAACCTCACAATCCGGAATTCTGGATCGGTTTACAGTACGACCAGGCCTCTGGGGACTGGACCTGGGTCCAGGATGGGTCTCTGGTCACCCTGGACAACTGGGCTCCCGGTTACCCGACTTCGGACGGGGGCGACTGTGCGGCTATGGTCCCCTCCACCTGGGCAACCGTAGGTGTCTGGTCCAACGGCTGGACCTGCAAGAAACCCGCTGCATCGCCGTGATGTCCTTATCTTTGCTCCTCTGCATAAATTCCAATAAATGACATGAACGGATGTTATACTGTTTTTCGTGGTGGCTTTCTAATTTTGGAGGTCAATTACACGGTCGTGAGGTCGTGAGAGCATGAACTGTATACTCTTCCTTCGCGCTTATGACGGTTTTTACGGTGAGTTCCTTTAAAGGAAGGAGATTTGAATAGTGAATTGCCCATGAATGTAATCCCATCGCTGCAAAAATTTCCGACTCTTCGTAGTAAAAATTTCCGCCGAAGAAAAGGTCAACCTGGAAACCTGGAACCTCATGCTGGGAAAATGGTTCTGGCGTTTCTTCGGAAATTATATTTCATCTTAGCGGAATTTCTTTCTTATATATTCTATTTATTCTATAAATATTACGGCTCAGGGACCCAAATCTCAAATGCGACGTTTAAGCGAACTATACTTTTCGTTTCCAGGCGAATGATAGATGATTCCACCGTTATTTGAGGATACATCGAAAAATTGGGAGTTAAGAGTACACCCAAGCTTAGCATGAGAGAATCGCACTGATAACTTACGGATCAATGCGTGTAACAAGACGACTTAGAGTAATGAACGCCGATAAGGATTCCTTTCATGAACCGTGGAATCTCAAGGAAGTAGCGGAAACATACCTATTGAAAGAAAAACAAACCATGAGATCGAGGTGACAGCCATGATCCGACTCGACCTGAAGGTGCGTGCGTTCGACTCAATGGTCAGGTGTTCCAGTGTTTGCCTTTTTTTCCCTACATCGAATGTAAAGAGGAGATTCCTTGAAACACCTGGGGAATGGACCATTCATGCAGTTGGAAGTAGCAGACATTTACTAAAAAACTTTATTTCGAAAGAGATCGAAAAAGTAACTTAGTCACAAAAACAGAGATGATCATGGAAATGGATTTCCTGCCCGCCGTGGACGACGGGGCGTCATGAAGGATGGTGGACAGAGGATGGAGGATGGAGTGGAAAAAGAGGACAGGTAGGGTGATTGAATGTCCTGGAGAGGGAGGGATGGAGGGTTTCCAATGGGACTGAAATGTCCCCGGGTGGTTTTTCCTTTTTCATATGGGTTTTCCCCGAAGGATAGAGTGGAAACTCGCGGATATTTTTTACGCCCATTTAATTCATATTAAAATTGACCTTCGACGACTGAATTGAAGGTCACAATGAAGTAGAATGTCTCTTATCATTCCTACTCTTACGTAGAACCTTGATTCTAGAGCGCTTGGCCTAGGACAGCGTCGCTTCCATGAGGCAGGCAGATCCCCACTCAGTTGCTGACATTCCCACAGACCAATTAGAGCTCATATTGACGCAGGAAATAACGCCGACGGGGAAACGAAATAAAAATAAAAATAAAAATGCTGTCATGATATTAGCAGAATGGAGAGAGCTATGCTGCGCTGCAGTGCGACATACTGTTCAGATCACATGCGTTTGGTTCAGGTCTGTGATTGGCCGGTCGGCGCCGACATGGCTTTATTTGTAAGGGGGAATGGAGAAAAGCGACCGTGAAATGAGATACTGTCAATTCGAGAAACCTCCTTTACCGCCATTAGGCGTCTGTGGGTTCTCTTCCCTCTAGTCCTCGTTGCCCTGGGAGAAAGGAGACAGGAATGCCGGGAAGTCTTGAAGGAGACCTGGGGTGAAATCGAGCCGCCTGGTTACCCTCTCGAATGCCTCGTCGGGACTGTATACATCTGCACCATTGAGGATTGTTTGTCTCATTCTCATCAACATCTCGCCATGGTCGCCTTTTCGTCGGAATTCTTTCCATTTTATTTCTTGCCTAGGGGCGAAACGCACGTTTCTGTGCTTGATTAAGAGTCTCGCAAGTGGGATATTATCTAGGTTTGTGGATAAAGTTTGCAAGGACGGAAGTTCGCAGCGATCGACAACCAGGCGGAAAGAATCGTCAGAATATGCATGAGGGTTCACGTTGGGGAAATCAAGATGTTTCCATCGCTCTTTTGATCCCCCTTCAGACGTTATACCATACTCTGCATCTGATTCCAAAATGCATATTGCTCTTGCTTTTTATGACGCCTAGATTGGTGAGCCGATACGGCTGATGTTCAAACGCTTCGTCCTCGACGAAAATTGGACTTGCATGGGGAATTGCCTGGCAGAATACTTGGAGATTTGGAACGGCAACGATTACCTGAGATTTTGCGGTGAAACGAATCTTTAAACCGTCTTCAGTTAGATCCTACAAATCGCGATCGCCTTCTATAGCGATAGGATCCAAGCAGCGAGCAAATACTGCCATGGCAACAGTCAAACCAAATGGTTAGGTATGGAACCATATCAAATCATACCAAATGACATACTCATGGCAGCTATTTTTTACATCTCAAATATGGATTGTGAGAAAGCGGCGAAGAAGATAATTTCAATGGTAGAGAGGCCAGTAGAATAGCAGATCAATATCCTGACAGGTCTTATTCCTTCTTTTTTCGAGGGCGTTTTTCTCCTGGACGGAACGGGAGCTCTGATTTTCTTATAATAATCAGTCCCAGCCCGGGATATTTCTAACGTGGAGTATTTCGTGACTCATGGGAAACGATGGAGAAGAACATCTTTCCCCGTTGCTCCTGCCTTCATGGCATCAGGAGTTAGGAGGAAACATGTCGACCGTAACCGATAGCCGTAACTTTCGAAGATCGTCCCCTCCACCTGGGCAACCGTAGGTGTCTGGTCCAATGGCTGGACCTGCAAGAAACCCGCTGCATTGCCGTGATCACCTTATCTTTGCTCCTCTGCATGAATTCCAATAAATGACATGAACGGATATTATACTGTTTTTCGTGGTGGCTTTCTAATTTTGGAGGTCCAGTACATGGTTAGGTTAGGTCCGGAGAGCATGAACTGTATCCTCTTCCTTTGCGCTTATGTCGGTTTTTACGGTGAGTTCCTTTAAAGGAAGGAGGTTTGAATAGTGAATTGCTCATGAATGTAATCCCATCGCTACAAAAATTTCCGGAATTTTCCTACTCTTCCAGGTTAAAAATTTCCGAAGAAAAGGTAAACCTGGAAACCTAGAACCTCATGCTGAGAAAATATTTCCGGTGTTTCGTTGGAAATCATATTTCATCTTAGCAGAATTTCTCCCTTATTCTGTAAATATTGCAACTCAGAGACCCAAATATAAAATGCGACGTTTAAGCGATCGATAATTTTCGTTTCCAGGCGAATGATAGATGATTAGACCGATATTCGAGGATACATCGAATAGTTGCGAGTTAAGAGTACCCCCAACCTGGTCATTCACGGTTTGACCGTGAATGATGCCATTGGTAAACCATGAATTACAGCAACATGCGCTCAATTAAATTCTTTATTGGCTCTTTCCAGCAAAATGGTCCTAGGATTTCAGCCAGAAATTTATATAAATATGTTTATATTATTCTATTTTTGCTACGAAAGTTAATCTTCTCTTATCCCAGTAGACATGCATTGAAGAGAGTATTACATTTAAAAATGAAAAAATTACTCACCTTTATTATATATTATTCATACTTTTCTCAAGATGCATGTAATGAAAATACAAATCTGGTGATTCCGGGAACACACCACGACCGTGGGAGACACATCAACTGACTGCGAATCCGCCAGAGAACCTCGGGAGCGTCGACGGCGAGCATCCTCCATCGTGGCCATGCGGTGTCTGTTGGCTCTGTCTCTGGTGCTGGGGGCGGTGGGAGGAGGGAGGCGGGAGTGCGGGGGGTGATGGAGGGGAGCGGGGGTCGAGTCGAGTCGCCTGGTTACCCGGATGGGTATCCCGGAGGGGCGGAATGCGTCTGGACCGTTGTGGTGAGGAAGCGTTTCGGAACGTGCAGATGAGCAGGTTTTATTCGCGTTTACAGTAGTCTTTCGATCTGAGTCGCACCGTGGAACTGGGGTATGGATATATCACGTAGGTAGTTTAGTCTCGGGTATCCCTCGGTGGGATGCATTCGAAGCCAGCAGTAAAAACATGATCGTCGCTCTGCCACTTTTCCGTTATTTTTCCGTTACTTTTCCTTCATTTGTATGTTGCCTGGGAGTGCATCACTGGGAAAGGAGCGACTTTGCTCCATCACCATGGGGTAAGATTGCTCTCCTCCTCCGTGAGTAAAGACGCTCCCCTCAGAAAGTGATAGGGATGTCATGCAAATACATTACAGTTTTTCCCAATTGCTAACGTCCGTTTCTCGAAACTATACTTCCGTCTTCAAAACTATTTGGACAAATCCCAAAACTCTGCAAACTTTTCACAAAACTTAACATCCGATTTCGTTGCTAACGTACGAAAAGCGAAACGCGAAGCGCGATTTTAATATCTGTACGTACCTTTTTCGAAACATAACGTACGGGAAAAGATACAGTTTTTCCCAATTGCTAAAGCGCTATTTCATTTCTCAATGGACATTTTTCAAAACTTAACGTACGATTCGCAAAACGCTGCACTCTCTTCTCATATCTATGCGTCCGGCAGTCAAAAGGGTGTCTCTTTGTCAAAATCAAAGTAAATTCTTCAACATTCTAACGTACGGGGTTAGGAACGTCTATGGACAGCCTAGAAGCAGACCGGGAAAATAATTCCTCCGTATACGGAAAGGCGATAATGTGATTATGTAATACTTTCAAAACTTAACGTACCCGTGTCAAAACTGTGCGTACTGCTGTCAAGATTCAATTTCAGCTCTCCAAAAGGGACAAAAGAACGTCCTACAATGAAAAAGTGTTTTTGAATTCCACCAGAGAAAAGTAGCTATAGAAATTTTGTCTCTTGATTTTCATTCAAGAACATGAAACATTTTTATGAATCTTAGAAATTGACTTTCAAAAATGTGTCCAGTATTTTGAGAACTCCATTTGATTATGATTTTGCTCTTCCTTATCCGAGACTCCATAATAGGTCTTCTCGCACGCTCCATTTCGCATATTTATTGAGGTTTTTGCCGAACGGTGAATCAACGATGACCCAAACGTACGGATAAACACGTAGGCTGGGATGCTGGCCGATTCAGAGGAATGCCTCGTCTCGCATCAAACAGGCTTTACTGTACTCTCCTCCCATCCCATGACTATTAGAGAGTTTTGGTTACCCGTTCTTGAGAGGACAGCCAGGGATGTAGGACGGCTGGCGTCACAGG